AAACATTAAATTGTATTTCCTGAACCATCTGTAGTAAGTATCAGGTAACTATATGATGTAAACATTAAACTGTATTTCCTGAACCATCTGTAGTAAGTATCAGGTAACTATATGATGTAAACATTAAACTGTATTTCCTGAACCATCTGTAGTAAGTATCAGGTAACTATTTGATGTAAACATTACACTGTATTTCCTGAACCATCTGTAGTAAGTATCAGGTAACTATATGATGTTATCAGTTAATTAAATAAAATGTGTTTTGAAATAGAATGTGTTAATTTTTCGTTTGTTTTGTGTGTGTTTTATTTCACTTTTGTTTGTCACAGTTTGAATAAGGAAGATACATAAACCTTGTAATGCACGTACCAAATTTATTTACATCTAAGACTCTTTTTTTTTTTCCATTTATAGAAGACAAAAATATGAACTTTCTTTTGATTTCCACAAACCAATACTATCAAACCACCAGGCTACAATTACAAGTAATGTATTCTTGTACTTAGGAGAAACACAAGCTTAGGCTACATCACGTGCGGTTGAGTCTTCGCAAACTGTTGCTTTGAAGCAATGCTTACATATTATTCACGAATACAAACAGAACTTGAACAATTAGGAGATAAAGTTAGTTATCTAGAAGGTAATTTGAATTAGTCAGTTATCTAACTCAGGTCAATGATCTATGTTAAGCCTTAAGACAAACAAAATCGTTTCTCAGTTCTACGTCCTCTGTACATCAACAATTTACTCAATACAAGTGAGTGTTTAACACGATAGTTTCAATTTAGAAATTAAGATAAAATTCACTACAGAGAGAGAGGTCGAAAGTCTGCCTGAAATATTCTAGATACTACATGCACGAAGCCACTATACGTGACAAATAAACTAGATTAACTACAGTTGAAAATCTAACTCAAAATCCAGAAACTAATGCAAAGAAGTCAATTTATAAGCACCACCCAGTAATATTCCTTTTGATCTGTAGAATGTCTTAAGCAATCACACGAAACTGTAGAATTTCTGTTTGATATGTTTGGTAAAGTCACCACGATTTCTTCATATTTTGTCAAATTCCAGCAAACACATCACATAGTGTTTTATATTGCTTATAGATTTCTCAAAACAATACGTTTTTCAGCTTTTCCAAATTTGCATAGAGACCTCAGCACATGCGCCCTCTATTGTCTGCTTTCCTAGCCCCTTCTGATAGGATGGCACGTAGGGATTGTACTCGACCATCGTCCATCCTCCTGACAGTAGAGGACACGCTCCCCCCTAAGTTCGAATTCCTCCGCACAATCAAACGTTACATTTTCGTTGGTTTGGTAGAAGAACTTGACGTCAGATATCATCCCCCCTTCTGTCGTTCCCGGATAAGTACAGGCTGGTACACCTACAGCAGGAAGAAAGAAAGAGTTAACGAAGAACTTAGTAGGTAAAACATAAGAACACGTCAAACTGTATTATACAAAAGGGAACTTGTTAATTATTAGCCATAAATTCTAAACCTGCAACAGTTTAAATACAATAATTCAATCTGCAGAGTTCACATAGTATTCAACCAGAACTTGTGTTCATGTAATTCACAAGCTTAACTTGTACTGTTCGTGTAATACACAATCTTTTATTGTAGTGTTCATGTAATTCACAACCTGAACTTGTACTGTTCGTGTAATACACAATCTTTTATTGTAGTGTTCGTGTAATTCACAACCTGAACTTGCACTTTTAATATAATACACAACCTGAGCTTGTACTTTTAATATAATACACAACCTGAACTTGTACGTTTAATATAATACACAACCCGAACTTGTACGTTTAATATAATACACAACCTGAACTTATACGTTTAATATAATACACAACTTGAACTTGTACGTTTAATATAATACACAACTTGAACTGGTACATTTAATATAATACACAACCTAAAGTACAAGTTCAAGTTGTGTATTATATTAAACGTACAAGGTTTAATATAATACACAACCTGAACTTGTACGTTTAATATAATACACAACCTGAACTTGTACGTTTAATATAATACACAACCTGAACTTGTTGAGAATGGCTTTATAACGTTCACTTACACTTTGGAGGAGGTCCAGACCAGCGTCCATTCTCCTGACAAACAATAATCCCTGGATTAACCATCATCTTACCGGAATGACAAGCAAATTGAACATATTCTCCACCTTTGTACTGTTTCTGACTGCCTGTCTGTAGGAATCCATTCTGAGGAGTTGGTGGTGGTGAACAGATAACCTCTGATGTTGTAAGAATATGTTTCAATTAAGATCTTCTATTCACCCTTAGGTTTAACATGTTTCTCTACAATCCACTTTATTTACTGTTCTGTATTACTTTTAGGTTTAACATGTTTCTTCACAATCCACTTTATTTACTGTTCTGTATTACTTTTAGGTTTAACATGTTTTTCTACAATCCAATTTATTTACTGTTCTGTATTACTTTTAGGTTTAACATGTTTTTCTACAATCCAATTTATTTACTGTTCTGTATTACTTTTAGGTTTAACATGTTTCTCTACAATCCACTTTATTTACTGTTCTGTATTACTCTTAGGTTTAACATGTTTCTCTACAATCCACTTTATTTACTGTTCTGTATTAATTTTAGGTTTAACATGTTTCTCTACAATCCACTTTATTTACTGTTCTGTATTACTTTTAGGTTTAACATGTTTCTCTACAATCCACTTTATTTACTGTTCTGTATTACTTTTAGGTTTAACATGTTTCTCTACAATCCACTTTATTTACTGTTCTGTATTAATTTTAGGTTTAACATGTTTCTCT